CTTCAGTAATTATATTTATGTAAAACAAATTTAAAAACTAACAACTCCTAAATTTTATAAATTTGACTAACATTAAAATTCTCTCTCTCATATCTATCCACATCCATGTATATATTAGGACTATTTCTCTCCCCCTTCTCCCCCCCCCCCCCTCTCCCTCCCCCAAAACAACCAACACACACACACACACACACATATAGTAACATTAAAAAAAAATAGTAACATAGAATATTAACATTTATAACATGTTCAATAAGAAAATAGTAACATGTTCAATAAGAAAAATAATTATATGAAAAAATTGTATCATGGAAAAAAATAGTAACATAAACAAAAAAGTAGTAACATGCGAAAAAAAAAATAGTAACATGGGACAAATAATAACATTTAAAAAAATAGTAACTTGGTATTACAGGAATTAAAAAATTAGTAACATGCTTCGGAGCATTTCGTCGAACACGTTTGGGGCATGTTACTCCAAAAGCTTGAACCAGACTATGTCATAGTTTGACACTGCAACAAAGGCATGCAAAGTGTGGAACCGACACAAACGACTAAACAGAGAGTGAAAATCAAAGGGTTAAGTAGAAAAAAAAATAGTGGAGATTTGGTTACGCATAGACTATAAGCCATCAAATTGGGTGGCTTGGACAATCTTGCCAAGCCTGAACTTCTCCTTATCCATATTGTTCTTGCATGTCTTGCAAGAAGATCTCGCCGATTTTGCATACTCTACCTTCCACGGCTTCAGAAGAGTGGTCATTCCTTCTATCTCTTTTTCTCTACAACAGCTATTCCTCACTCCTTTATTTTCTTTTTTTGCTGGTTAAAAAAAAGGGTAGGGGCATGGAAGAACATTGAGCGACCACCTCGTTAGGCCCATCGATGGAACACCTCATTGGAATAAACCTAACTAAGCTAACATAGTGGCCAACCACTGAGCTCTAATGGGAACTCCAAGACTTGAACTCCCAACCTCTAAGAGAGGAGTATGGCCGGTACTACCACTAGACCACCCTACTCGGTGATATTCCTCACTCCTTTTTCTATCTATATATATAGGGAAATTGTGGGGGTCGTATCAATTTTAATTTTATATATATATAGTTTCAAACCAGTAATCCTTTTCATTGGATCATGTTTTTGAATTTTCAAAATTTATGGATAAAACATTGTTGGTAAATATTTGAGCATGATTTAAAGAATAGAATTTATGGAAATAAAATCAGAACATTTTCCCAATTAGGAACAATCTTGTCATTTAAATATTGTTTAAACATTATATAAAGGGCATTTTAGAGTTTTAAAAAAATAGTGGACTTAACTACTTACTAATAAGATTAAAAAGGGACTTACCCCAAATAAATTTTCTTGCTAGACTAAACTCATTATAAGTCCCTTAAAGAAGACTCAGCCCCCATTTTCACATTTTTTTTTTTGGAATCCTATTGGGCCCAAGAACTAGCCTCCAAAAAACTCTTAAATATAAAAGATATGAATGACATAGTTATATTTTGGGAGGGCGAAGATAAAAAAAATAAGTTTTTCATGTACTTTGATATTCTAAATTAATATACATAAGAACATAATTATGCTGAATTTATTATATTGCCCCCCTTAAATTTTTGAAAATTTATATAGTGATCCTAGTAAGATTTTTGTTTAAGTTACTAATCCACGCCTCCACTTATCTAGCAAATCAAATATTTTGTTGTTAGAGTGAATATAACATATATGAAATGTCCTCTCTATTATATGCTAGTTAATGTACACGTGCTTTGCACGTGAACAATCTCATTGTGAATAATTTGTTTAGCACCGAAATTAGAAAAAGTAATCACAACATTGCAAATAGCTGAAGTAAGCTCAAAAAGTTTGTGATTTTAATTTCTTTTTTTGGGAGGTGGGGATCAAAGGTTAGAAAAGTTTCAATCTCTATTTACTTGACCCAAAATAAATAATATTTTTCAAAGGTACATAAACTAATGTCTTTTCAGATTTTTTATTATTCAATATAAAGCTCATAGAGTAAACCTCTAATGCAAAAATCCAATTAATTATTGTGATTATTGCAATTCCAACACTTTAATTTGACCTACATTAAGTAAAAGTAGTAGGATTAAACTTAATAAAATAGTGTCTATATATTGATCGTTATTTTGTAAAATCTAATCATATTTGGCATTGCAAATATACACCCAAAGAAGAGATAGACTATCTAACATGTAATTATGTTGCATACATGGAAGATCACAAAATCTTACTTCTCTAGGTACTTTTTGTTCAATGCTTTTGCAAATTTCTTGAAATATTTTTTTCAAGATAGATTGTAAAAAAATAATGAAGAGTTGAAGTTGAAAATAATTGTCCAACCATCAATATATAAGGACAAGACCACAAGTTCTTTTTATTTTTGAGAAAATTGCAATCCCCCACACATAAATAGAGGCAAAGGTGATTACCTAACAATTGAGTTCTACGATATAGAGATGACACATTCACATCAAACAAATACTTCGAGCGATAACATTTTTATAGCAATCCTTGAAACCCAATAGAAAAGAGAGAAAAAGTTTTAAAAAGTTCTTGTAATTACTATAAACTTTTGGTTTTTCCATGTCCATAAAACGCAAACATCAGTTTAGAAGAAAATTTTTAAGCTTTCTTGTAGTCACAAAAAATTTTTGGCCTAGAAACATTAAAATCTCAAATAAATTCATGTGGAGAAACAAAAAGGTGGTAGTGTACTATTTTGTTATTACTCATACTGATGTGAACATCATTAGAGTTAAAATCAATAATTAAAGATAAAATGAATACATAAACTATTAAGTATATGTACATAACTAATTTAAGGAGATGAAATAATAGTGGAGGAGTATGTAATTAATTGGAGAAGATGAAAGAAAATTGTTCAAAGGAATTATATGTTTTATGAAGGATATTATAGTCAATCAAAAGTTTTTCACTTAACTTTCTTTTATTAGTAGCGTAAATATAGATATAAAACAAGACAATACCTTTATAATTGAATATACTAGGTCCGTTATTTTTAAAAATATTGCATACTTGTCCCTTATTTTTTGGGGGTAAATAAGTGACTCGTAAATGCAAATGATAAAATTCACTTACCAAAAATGTGTTTTTTACAGAATTTTTTTTATAGCCAAACCTCGAACAGCACGAGAAATTTTATTGAATAAAGAAAAAACAAAATTGCAACTTAAAATAGGGGGAGGGGGATGTAAAGAGACTTACCCCAAATAACTAATACAATTCCCAATTGAATTAAAAATCATAGAGAAAAAACAATGCAATGCATGCATGCAATACATCATTATTTAAATCTAAAATTTGGAGAGCCAATTATATCCCTATTAACTAGATAAGATATAAAATTCAGAAGAAAAGGCCAGCAAGAATAAGTGTTGGATCCAATTTCAAAATTAGCAAGACGATCGGCAACCTAATTTCCTTCCCTATAAATATGTGAAAATTGTAAATACATTTTTTGCATTTGTTCACAGCATACTCTCCACTTGGGTTTTAAATCCCAGGGAGAAGATAGGTAGTTGAAAATCTTTTCAAAACTATTTGTGAATCACATTCCACCCAAAGTTTGTCATCCAAGAGACCAAGCAATGTCAATATCGTAATAACTGCCATGAATTCTACATAATATGGGTGCCCAAAAGAAGACTAAAAGCCTCTTCAACAAAACCACGATGTTTTAAAAAAACACAATCACAAGCAGCTACACCCGGTCTACCTCTAGCAGCCCACCCCGTGTTGAGCTTTAACGAATTTGGAGGCGGCAAATGCCACCTAAACTCCCAAATGATTGTGTTTAAAAGTGTGTTTTTTAAACAATTTATTCCTCAACAAAAATGGAAGAAGATCAGAACCTGGCTTCACAACATCATGAATGATGATTTTATCATAGGCTATTTGATTGTGCAAATCAAAAGAAAATTGCTGAGAAGCCTAACATATAATTAGTCAGTTATAGATGATTTGTGCTATTTAAAACAGTGACGCAATGTTCCATGTACACATTTGGTTCTATCTCGTGCTTTAATTTAGATCACTCCTTAAATGTAATTTTTATATCCCTAAGCGTGCACTGAACACTCTTTAAAATAGTTTGCACGTGTACAGAGAGAGAGAGAGAGTAATTATGTTTAACAAGTGCTCAATGCACGCGTAATTGATGCGCAATGATTATTTATACGCTCGTGCTCTTGTCTTTGGTATAATACCCAAAAACTCAAAAACCCTAAAATTTGGTTATTTTTAATTTAAAAGTGATTAGTTTTACCTCAAAATAAAGTATATGAACTCGAAAATCCAATACAACCACATCCAATTTGGTCTTCATTAATAGGGGCGAATTTTTTTTTTTTTTTTAGCACTGCTATGCTGCTCAAATCAAATGCATGTGCACCACACATATCATTGAGTCCCAAAAAATTAATTATTTCATTCAATTTGGGGTGCACATACATTTGACATACAAAATTTAAATTTTGATTGGAACAGCATAGCCTTTTTGTACTTTTTTTTTATGCTAGTTGATTAATTTTTCATTCATGTTAGTGTCCCCTCTAATATAGAATCTAACCCGCACCCAAGTGGAGGGCTGTCAGGGTGAGGTGGGGCACAAGTGTGAGGTAGGATTACCAAACCCCTTCAATGCACCGGGTGCAACAACTATACTTCGACATAAATCTGGTTTATTAGCTCTTAGCTTCGTAATAAGAAAATTGTAGTGGTAACATTGGCTTTTCTACGTGACTACTCTTGAATTTCATTTTCTTGGTCATGTAATACAAGCATAAATTGGTCACTGATTTCATTGTTGGAGCCTCAGTTTCTGAATAACATGAGCTAATCCTATTTATGTTATGTACACAGTAACTGGTAGCTAGCTCGGGCTTTTTTACACAATAATATCAGCTAAACAATACAGGGCAATTCATTACGAGCATAAACAGCATTGCTCATTTCCATCTTTTGGCATTCTTCAGCCCTTTTGACTTTTGTTTTGCCTGTTGAAATGCCTGCACTTTCTGTTTTTTCCGAGCTTCTCTCTCAGCCTGTTAATCATCAAATGAGGTATGTGAAGTTTTCGCTTGAATAACTGACCATAGGAAAAGGAATGAAACAGACTACATTTTGGATTACATCTGTTATCATATTTCTCCTTTTTCTTTCCTGGATGTAAATAACTACAAGGCAATGTTACCTTTGACATCTTTGATTTAGCTTTTGCTTTAGGAGATTTTTCCTCAAGCTCTGCCTCACGTTCAACCTCTTTCTGCCGTGCGTCAAGGTTCTTCTCCAGATAATACTGTGAATCTCAAATTTACAAATTGTCAGAATCCACCAAGTAATTGCACTGCACAAACATTGTTTTGAAACGTCCTCAATCCCGCTTCTGCCATTGACAAGGGGCACAAGGGATTAACATAGCATGTGTCTGCTTACAGCACTTAACGAAATTAAAAGGGCTTCTTCAGTAGATATCCAGAAACGAGTTTTCTGAAAATCTGTCCTAAGGCTGGGACATCTGAAAACACAAAGTTCTCCATTTTTTACCATTTTGAACTAGACAACAAAAAATTGAAAAGTTGAAACATAAAAAAGTCATGAAAGATATCTGTGGATTATTCAACTATTTACTCTATTTCTTAACACAAACTTTTTAAGGACCCAGAACCACTACATTTTTCAATTTTCATAACTCAACTCAACTCAATAAAGCTTTAATTCCAACTATTTGAGGTCGGTTACATGAAATCCTATTTTTCCATTGCGCTCTATCAAGAACCATATGGTCTGTTAGACCATAAGCTATTATATCCTTTTTTATTATTCCATAGTTATTTCAGACATGTCTCTAACTCTCGCATTATCATCATATGTATCAAATCATTCTTCGATTCCCTCTTAACTAATCTCCTATTAGTGCTATTTCTACGGTTTTACAAATATACTTATTTTTAATTTTATCCTTTCTCATTTTACCATACATACATCTTACCATTCTTATCTCTGCAACACTTGCTAATTTTTTAGCGTGTTGTTTCTTAATTGTCCAACATTCCATTCCATAAAGTATTTTTGATCTAATGGTTGACCAAAAAAATTAACCTTTCAACTTAAGGAATATACATCGATCACATTATACAGCAGATGCATTCCTCCATTTAGTCCATCCTTTCTATGATTAACATCATCTCCAATCTCTCTCTCAATAGATAATTGTCCCCAAGTAACTAAAATATTCTTTCTTGGGTATCTCTTAATCTTAATCTTTGCTACCTCCCTATTGTTTCTAACTTTCTACTATTAATAAAACTACATTCCATATATTCGGTTCTATTTTTACTTATCCTAAATCTTTTGATTCTATAGTTTTTTTCCAAACTTCTAGTTTGTTGTTAACTTCTACTTTAGTTTCATCAATAAATACTATATCATCGGATAAATAATATACAATATGGAATCTCATTCTAAATGTGTCTAGCCAATTCATCCATAGTTAAGACAAAGAGACACAAACTTAAAGCGGCGCCCTGATGTACGCATACCATGATTGAGAATTCACTATTTTCTCATACAGTTGTTCTAACTAAGATCATTGAGGTACATATCCTTAATCATATTAATATATCTATTTGTAACTCTCTTCTTCTCTAAAACCCATCATATTATGTCTCTTGGCACTCTGTCATATACCTTCTATAAGCCTATAAACACTATATGAAAAAAAAAAATTCTCTTCATATATTTCCATTAGTCTCCTATGTATATAACTTTCATAGTTGATCTTCCGTGCATAAACCTAAATTGATTCTCAGATACAGTTGTTTCAAGTCTTAGTCATTGCTCGATCAGTCTCTCCCAAAGTTTTATTTGTATGACTCATTAATTTAATATCTCGATAATTTGTGCAATTTTGAATACCCTTTTTGTTTTTATATGTGGGAACTAAAATACTTCCATCACTCATGCAACAGTTTCTTAGTTGTTATAATCTTGTTAAATAATTTAGTTAACTAAGATACCCCAACATTTTTTAAACTCCTCCAAACTTCTAGTACACCATTAGGTCCTAAAGCTTTTTCAATTTCCATCTTATTTAATGCATTCTTTACTTTTGACACACTAATTCTATAAATAAATAAAAAAACATTTTCCCTTTTGGTTATTATTTTGTTCAACCCATAAGTTTTTTTTTTTCGACTTTCTCTAATTTCCTCATTTTTTTTACCAAGACCCTTGAATCCTTGTTTTTAATACACTTAATATGGTTAACATCCTTGGTTTTTCTTTCTCTTACTTTAGCAAATCTATATATATTTCTCTCTCCGTCCTTTATGTCTAGCTTAGAATAAATTTCATTATTTTTTTTTTAATTAGCTTCTCTTACCGCTTTTTTAACTTCTTTATTTGTAATCTTATATTATTTTAAATCATCTTTATTTTTAGATTTCTTTCATATCTTATAACATTTTTGACATCCTTATGCTATCACCAAGTTTCTTTAGCTATCTATTGATATTCTTTTGATACTTCCTACCATCCTATTCCACATTACATTAATTTCATCTTCTAAATTCTATGTTGCTTCTTTTAGCATTTTATCTTTAAATAAAACTAGTTTTTTTCCTTTTAAATTCCACCGCCTAGTTCTTCTTGGGTTTTTAACATCATTTCTTATTCTTGAACACATTTTGAGACATATACCTAGTACCATTATCTTATGTTGATTAGTCAAACTCTCTCCTTGAATGACATTACAGTCCTTAAATGATAAACGACCTACTTTTCTACGTAAGAAAAAATCTATTTAACTCCTATTTAACCCACTTTTAAAGGTTATTCCGTGTTCATCTCTCTTTTTGAAATAGGTGTTAGCTATTAGAAGGTCAGATGCCACTGTAAAACTTAAATAGGCTCTCCAGCATCATTCCTATATGCAAACTCATGTCCACCATGAACCATTTCATATCCTCTCTGATCTTGTCCTATATAACCATTAAAGTCTCCTCTGATGTATACTCTCTACTCTCTCCCTCACATGTAAACTCTCTACTCACTCCCTCACAGGTATTTCTCGCATTAAGTCATCCATTTGTTCCCAAAACTGAGATTTAATATGTTCATCCAATACTACTTGAGGAGCAAAAGCATTTATAATATTTATTATATTTTCTCCTACTATAGGCTTAATTAGTATTATTCTATCTCATTTCATAAGAATAGTTACTACTTCTTGCCTGAGATGTTGATCTACTATTATTTCAACTCCATTTCTATTTTGTATTTTTTTCAGTATAGTAAAATTTATACCTTGTGTCTTCTATTTCTCCTCCTACCCATTTAGATTCTTGTATGCTAGATTAACTTTTTTCTATCATAGCTTTAACTAACTCTATTCATTTACCTGAATGTGTTCTTATATTCCAAGTTGCTAACCTAAGCTTTAGTATCTTTGACTAACTTCCTCAACCATGTCCGTTCAAAATGGCGCAGGAACCCTTGCACTATAATGTAATGCCCCTCGCCCATTTTTCGAAACACTGGAGTCCAGGTGCAATGCATCGCTCAAGGGTAGTGCCCTAGTATTACGCGTATATTTGTTGAATTCACGTTTATATTGGATCCGACAAAGTTTTACGCTAGCTAACAACTAACTAACACAACCTTCCCCCTTTATCTGGACTTACGACCAGCTGTGAAAAAGATAAGATACTAAAACTCAACACACAACATAGGCAGAGTTTTTCAGTTTTCATAACTCAAGAAGTAAAAATTGTTTCAGAAAGCTACACAAAACAGGCCTTAAAAGAATACCCATGTGAGTGAGAACAATAGGCAACAATGACATTGGCAACAACAATAACATATGTAGGCAATACAGAATATTAAGACCTAGACTTACATTGTAGTCGCCTGCATAGTCTTGTAAATTGCCATCCTTTACTTCTAATACTCTGTTAACTATTTGCTTTATGAAGTATCGGTCATGAGAAACAGTAATGACAGTGCCTTGGTATTCTGTTATTGCCTCCTAATAGAATCCAATGAATCATGAAGGTGGAATAAATATGTTTATCACATTTAAGAAAATTGTATTAGGCAGAGAAACAAATGGAACAAACACCAAACCTCAAGCATCTCCTTAGAAGGTATATCCAAGTGATTAGTTGGCTCATCCAAAACTAGCAAAGTCGAAGGTTTCACCATGAACTTGCAAAAGGCCAGCCGTGCCTAAACAGAAAACAAGCATCAAAGCTTGCGCTTAAGGATTACATGGCAGGAAGCACAATAAAACCTAACAATTAACCACAATGGTGAAATAAGCCTTCCATAGCAGCAAGAAACAAAATACTACATAAGTGGTTACCTTCTCACCCCCACTCAAAAGGGAGACCTTCCTATCAAGCATATCAGCCTTGAAATTGCAACGCCCAAGAAGTCCTTTGATATCATCAAGTCTCCAGTCTTCTGCAACTTCAGCAACAGTTTCAAGCACTGTTTTATCTAAATCAAGTGCCTCAGCCTGAAAAGGTGGAAGATTGATTTAATCAACAATACCAATGCAAAGTAGTGGACATCCAGCCACCATAAAAAATGGAATCATGATGCAGCAGTAATTACAATGACACACCTGATTCTGTTCAAAATAATTCGGCAAGACATTATGCTCCCCGAGCAGAACTTCACCTGTTTGCGGGTTTTGTAACCCCATAATAAGTTTAAGCAAAGTACTTTTCCCACATCCATTAGGACCAATAATGGCAATTTTCTCTCCCTTTTCAATTGTCAAATTTGCCTTCTTGAAAAGAACCTGCTTGACAATGCATATGCACACCTCCAAAGTAAGATGTATGTACACTAACTAGAAAGGTCAGTGCTGATAGTTTTATTATTTCAATCATATTTTAATAACCTTGTCCCCATAGGCAAATTCCAGATTCTTAATTGTTACAACGGATCTTCCACTTCTTCCACGCTCAGGGAACCGGATCTTCATTTGTTTCCGGATAAATGGCTTGTCAACTTGGTTCTCATCCTGAAGTTTCTCCAGCTTCTGTTATCACAAAAATAAATAAACAAATAAGTAACAATACGACCAGTAACTGAGAAATGCATGTAAAGAGGGACACCAAATGGAATGTAAATTACGTGCTAAAGAGACACGAAATACAGCTCTGCGGAAAACAGATCAATGAATAACCCAAAATAAAATATCTGAATTAGCTGTTGTTAACAAGTTCAAGATAGTAAAAAATAATCATCAGATTTAGGCATTTAGCAAATAATTAGACACTTTAATGGGGATCGTGTAGGAATTTGATAGATATTTTAGATTAATCATGAGAGTAGTTTGAATACTTTTAATATTTATCTTTTAAGGATTTTCTTTTAACTTTTAAGGGGTCATTTGTCATTATTTATTTGTTTTAGGGTTTTAGTTTCTCTATATAAAGGGATACATGTAAGAGTTTTATTTAGATTAGACTTTAATTATTATTGAATACTGATATTGTTTCCTTCTCAAATTCTTTCTCTTTTCTCATCCTTTTCTTCTTCTCTTCTCATCCCTAATTCTACCCTTCCTAGGTTACATCGATATCAGAACCAATACGATATACATCAATTTGATATCATAGCTATTACGATCTACATCATACTGACAATCATGTAAGAATTTGATAGATATTTTAGATTAATCATGAGAGTAATTTGGATACTTTTAGTATTTATCTTTTAAATATTTTCTTTTAACTTTTAAGGGTTTATTTGACATTATTTATTTGTTTTAAGGTTTTAGTTTCCTTGTATAAAAAGATGCATGCAAGGATTTTATTTATATTAGACTTTGATTATTATTGAATATAGATATTGTTTCCTCTTCAATTCTTTCTCTTTTTCCATCCCTTTCTTCTTCTTTTTTCATCCCTAATTCTTCCATTCCTAATCTACATCAATTTGGTATCAGTACGATCATCAATTTGATATCAAAACTATTACGATTTACATCAATTTGGTATTAGAGCCTAACTTCGATTCATACACATCACAAAAATACATCATCACTATTCATCGTGTGCACTGTTCATCAGAAAACACTGTTTATTGAAAAAAAACATTGTTCATCGCCATAAGCAGTGAAAAAAAAAATCCAAAAATCAAAGATCTGTGCAGCCAAAAAAAAAACAAAAGGAGAAGAATCAGATTCGTAATTTTCCTCCATAGCACTCGTTCTGTTCAACTTCATCGCTGCCACTTGCTTCTTCGTCATCGATCCATCATCGTTTAGGTGCCATCGTCATCGTCGTTGTCCTTCTCTTCTTGTTGAAGTTGTTGAACTTGCCACTATGGTTACGCCTACAAGCACGATAAAGAAGAAGACAGCTTGATCTTTAGGTTAAATTTTGACCCACCGTTCACAATTTTATCAGATTCACCCCTTAAAAGTTTCTGAAATCACAGAAATATCATCCATAAGTTCTAAAATTACACAAACATCCCCAACAGATCTAAAAAATTATAAAATTTCTTCCAAAAGTTTCAAAAAATTACAAAAACATCACCCCATAAGTTTCAAAAATTACAGAATCATCCCCAAAAAATTTTAAAATTTTCTCTTGATTATAGTATGCATACTCCCATAGAAATTTGAGACTAATATTTTTATTCTTTTAGAAATTAGAGAATTTACAAAGGGTCCAAAATATATTTTCTTCTATTTAAATTTTCTCACTTCTTATAATTGTCAATTGTATTCTTGAACTCGTTCTTATGTTATTCTCATCTTTCAAAAGTCAATCATGAGTTCATATGATCCTTATGATGCCTATTCAGATACTTATCCAACATCAAGTATATCTCAAATTCACAGCTCTCCACAATATCATTATACCGATTCCACTCCTAGAGTTTCTTGGGGTCATCATAAAGTCCATAGTAAGTCTGAGTTTTATTATGAAGATTATCTAGAATACTACTCTGGAACACTTTAGTCACATAACAGTTACCAACATCATACTTTTCAAAATCATCATCAAGTTCAATCTGGATCTATCTTTAACGTCATTAGTGATCATTCAAAAGACCAAGCTACCCTAGAGAAAAAGGTTGAGATATTTGAAATTGGAGTTGCCAATAATAAACGTTCACTCAGCCAATTACGTGAAAAGTGTAAAGGGATGAAAAACCAATTATCTGAATTAACAATTTCAATTTTCACACTTGATTAAAATTCTTGCAAGTCAGCAAATGGAAAGAAATAAAGACAAGTCTCTAGTTTCACCTAATGTCGGACACCCGCATGATGATAGTCATATTTCTGTTCCGTTGGACCCTCATATTTCCTATCCTTCAAAACATACTTTCAATCGTTTGAATATTGATACTAGTGATGACAATATTTTTTATCTTATCATGTTTCCTACCTCATCAGAGTCAAAAGTTGAATCATCACTAACCATTGAACTTGAAGAAAAATCCATTCAGTTACTTCCTATGCAAGATGTTGAACATATTAAGCTATCTATTTCAAAATCTATTGGCGAGTATTTTGTGTCTACTTTTTCGAATCATGATGGCATTGTTATGGATTCTTCTCCACCTGAGATTATTGGCATTGTTATAGATTTCTGCCCACTTGAGAGTGTTAACTTTATTTCTCTGCCTACTGTCAAGTATTCAGTTGAGTCTGTAGTATCTCATTTTTAACACCAAGGCTTTACTGTTACTCATTTGTCATTGAAGTCTTGTCCCACTGAATGCTTGTTGTTCAAATTTGATGGGAATTATTTTCCTACTCTTGAATTTGGATCTAATGCTTATTTATTTTATTTTTGATTGAATTTTAATATTAGTCCGAATTTTTATTTGGAGGACATGTTATTTAATCTAGGCACTCTAGAGCCTCTTATTTTATTAGGAAGTGTTCCTACAAGTGCAATTGCTCCTTCCTCACCACGATCTCGAGTTCTTTATCTCTTCACTTCCATTGCACATTCCGAGGCAGATAGATGATGTGTTACAAGACCAGATTTTTAGTGTTTTAGATGGATATTGTCCACAATATCCTACTCGATGAACAACTATAGATTCTTCTTTCAATATAGAGGAGTTCTACCATCTTCATTATGCACTCTTAGAATATTTTGGCTTTGAAGACTCTCCAGATGAGACTTTTTCTCGACCGGAGGAGAATAATAGAGGTCGTGTAGGAATTGGATAGATATTTTAGATTAATTATGCGAGTAATTTGGATACTTTTAGTATTTATCTTTTAAGTATTTTCTTTTAACTTTTAAGAGTTTAATTGTCATTATTTATTTGTTTTAGGGTTTTAGTTTCCCTATACAAAAGGATGCATGTAAGGGTTTTATTTAAATTAGACTTTGATTATTATTGAATACTAATATAATTTCCTTCTCAAATTCTTTCTCTTTTCTCATCTCTAATTCTTCCCTTCCTAGTCTACATCACACTTGACAGTAAATTAGTATAAAAATTACATACATTTTCCCAAAAGGACATACTTGACTCTGTATTCAATAAATGATCAGCCCCATTTCATAAAAATATGAAAATCCCTGAATGGCTCATGGAATAAAAGCAAAAGTATCACTGCAGCAACTGCACATTGAGTGAGAATTCTAGGAAAAAAACTAATATAATATGGGTTGGTGTCTTCGGCTTAAAGAAGAAAATGGACCAAAAATTTGGACTTGTGGCAGTTATTCAGCTCCCCACTTTGCTTATCCACTCTTGTTAAATGAGCTCAATCAAAAATTATGAATCTTAAGAGTCGAACAAAAAGGAAATCAGTGAAGTAATTCCTAACCTCCTCATCTTAACTCTTTAATTTCTCTATCTCTGCTATACACACATATATCTTAATATCATGAACTCTCTCCTGTTTTGCTATCTATGTCGATTGAAGCAATTCCCTCCACCAGTCCTGATGACCAGCCTCCTAGATCTCTCACCATTCGCTCCCACCTTAGCCCATCTCCGGAGGTGTAAGGCCAGAAAAACGAACTGATTAAACACAATCACCCGAGTTTAAGATCATGGTTTGTTTTCCTCTCAGGATATAGATGTATTTTTATCACATGGTGGCATAATGCTAAAAGCAACTAAACCTAGGAAAAGTGCCCCTATTCAACCCAGCAGATTTACCCAAATCACCTGCACATGAGGACAAGTTCAAATCAACAATTTGTATTTATTAGCAACTCCTTAACATTCTTGGTGCAATTTCCTGTCACAGTGCAAAGGTAACAATGCCAGTGTAATGCATCGGATAGTCACTAAGTGAGCAGATCTGAAAGATTTTACAAACTCATCCAGTGCCCCTGATATCTTGACACTCATTCAAGTAATCTGTAATTCACACGGAAACACAGGAGTCAATAAATGTGAAAATGGCAAGTCCCACCCATTCACTCCCTCCCTCTTTTTTGCTCAATGTCCTGCATGTTGAAAGTTTCAATCCTCAAGTACTACCTAATTGACCACTGTTGCAACTACACTCGTCTGACAACTTGTATTGTTTGTGACTTATGAGAGTAATTGATTTCTGGTTTTGAAGAAAGAAAAAAACCAACACTACTGTACATCGTCAGCAGATGGTCGAGAATTGTCCACTCAAGATCATGATAAAAATTGGCAACTTGTGCGTGGAGAATATCCATTTTCATTTTTCTATTCACAATTTGAGGCTTATGAACTACACCAAATAAATCTCAGTGTGGAAGAGAACTGCTTATAATTTTTTGGTAAAAAAATGAGTCTTAAGGCCTATTTGGTTTGCATCTCAAAAACAGTATTCAAAAATAGTTTTTGAGAAGAGTTTTAAAAAAGTGTTTTTGAAAATTTCAGATTGCAAAACCTATTTGGTTATATATTTTTTAAAATAGTTTTAAAGAACAAAAAATTATAAAATTTGTTCGGACAATAATCCACAAAACTCATAATTCCCATCTCTCTCAGTCTCTACAAAACACACACACACACACCTCTATAGATGCTTACAGACACAAACGCGCACACACACACAGAAGCATACACAGAGGCATACACACACTCACACAAATGCACACAGATCTGTGTATATACACAAATCTGTTCTCTGTGTTTATAAAAACATTTGTGCTCAAATCTCTATAGATCTGAAGCTTCAGTTGTTGAGAGAGAGAGACAGAGAGATTAGACCTGAAGCTTCAATGGTTACAGTGGAGAAGAAGTTGAAGCGAGGGAGAGCTTCAATGGTTGCAGTGGAGAAGAAGAATGAATAGTCTCCATTTTTTGTCTCCAATAAACTCGTAGGGGAGACGTCATTAATTTGGAAATAGGTTTTTTCCCGTGTTTTTATTTTAAATTAGAAAACAATGAGAACACCATTTTGTTGTTCTCTAACATCACATCTCAATTCTTAAAATTTTCAAAAAATTGAAGAACAAAAAACCAAACCAAACAGCATCCCCTTGTTTTTAAAATTTTCAGAATAAAAAATTGTTTTCAAAAACGAAACAATTAAAAGGTTTATCTTTTTGCCACGCATCTATTAAGAAACGCACAATCCATACTATCATCAATTTGAAATGCGCAACAGGCAGGCCGGGCTTTGGTTCAGCATGAGGAGATAAGGATAGAAGTTATGAAATTGTTCTCACTCTTATCCATCTTATCAAGCCAACAGCATATAGCAACAGTCCATTAAATATTTCAAAAGTCCTCCGAGCAAAAAAAAAATTCTTCAATCTGGTAAACCATCTATCAATAACAGGGGGCTGTTCATAGTAAAAACTACTAGACTAGATGGATTCCAACTAAAGAAGCCCTTAGTTCTCATTTGATTTGTTGTTTAGAAACTGGATAAAGACTGCTATGGAGAGAGAATTGATGAATGAATCAATGAGTGAGAGAACATGGGATAGGAGTGAATTTGGACATCATAAAAGAACCCATTGACTTAAAAGGCAAGCTGTTGTTTTAAGAGATTGTTTCACAAACAGGAGATAACAAACTAATTATGATAAGGAAATAGTGACACCATTTAGAATTTGTTACGCAAATTTGAGCATCACTAGATACTATTTCTGACCATGCAGTTTCATTAGAGCTGCATGCCTAAGAAACAAGAGAAATTTACACTATACAAAAATGGAACTTTATGTCTGCTGCAAAAAACATTGTTAAGTTAATGTAAGTTGCAAGAATGCCGAAAATTTTGAGTTCTCGTGCTGCTGTGTGAGAATTAGTGAAAGTTTTTAACAAGCAAAGATTTGCAGGTAACGCAAAACTGTTTTATATAATATTGCTGAAGAATTATACTGCACCTCACAAGTTTCATCTGTTAGAGTTCTTATTTTATATTATTAGTAGTGTAGGGTATTATTATAATTACTCATAATATTAGTTTATATAAATAAGAGGATGTAGGGCAACATACCCTACCCACAAAATTGTTTCACTCTCTTTTTCTTCTCTTTCTTCTCCTTAACCCTAACATACAATTATTCAAGTTTCAACTTCAACAATGCTTCAATTTGTGTTTATCTTAGATGAATAAGAACATGTTTATCTCTCAATAGATTAAAATGACAAATCTTACATACCTTTTCAGCAGTGGATGCACGGCCAGCATTTGCTCCTGCACTTAACCTGTTTATTAAGTCTCTTGTCTGATCAATTTCCTTTTGCTGCTTCTCCCATGCTGCAAACTGGGCTTCAATCCTTGCTGCCTTTGCAATTACATACTGGGAGTAATTTCCATCATATGTCCTCGAAACACCCATGTCAGTTTCCACAACTTTTGTACACAACTGGTCTAAAAAGGCCCTGTCATGAGATATGATGACCATTGGCACATCTTGCTTATTAAGATAAGCTTCAAGCCATTCGATTGTGTCAAGATCAAGGTGATTTGTGGGTTCATCCAAAAGTAACAAATCTGGATCCTGCAAGAATCACACATGTCAACAGTCAACCACAAACAGTTAAATTCTCTAACACATCTAACAAAGTTAACCAACCAAAGTACTCCTAATATGGTTATGACAGCATAGACAGGAGGTATTGTGTGTTTCAGTAGAAAAGATTATAACATCAAAAGGCACCATTTTGCTCATAGTTATGCTATATCCACCAATGTAGCATTGCTTCCATTATCACTACTCCCAAGTCGAATAAATCCACATCACAAAATCTAATTCAGCACGCACAATTTAGTGGCGATATCATTTCCTTAGTTATCAACACCTTTTGGAAATAACAGCCAAAATCTACAGCCATATCAATTTGCTAAGGAAATCACAAGCAACAATCCATTCTCACATCATTTCCTGAATATGAATGAAAATTTTGCAAAAGCATTGCAAGAAAGCAAATAGAAACATACTTATGCATGGATAAACTCAAAACATTTTGAAACTGAGTCAAATTAGCCAAACCAGGAAGTTGAAGCCAATGATATACCTGAAGCAAAATCTTCCCAAGTGACATCCTCATCTGCCACCCGCTACTAAACGACGCCACCAACCTATCTGAATCCTCGGGCTCAAACCCAAGTTCTGGCACCAACTTACTAATTTTTGCATCCACCTCATCCAAGTCCACGGCCTGAGCTCGCCTCTGAAGCAAATCAAACTCGTCCAGAAGCCTCCCCATCAATTCCAAATCATCCACAGACTTCTCTATCGCCTTCTGAACCTTCTCCAACCTCTCGGCAATCTCCATTTCCTCCTTAAATGCGCTCATAAACTCCTCTCTCACAGTCCTACTACCTAAAACCTCGAATTCTTGGCTCAAAAAAGCGATTTTCATATTGGATTTTGCCTTAATTACATTCCCCGAATCGGGTTCTTCTTGTCCAGCTATAATCCTCAACTGGGTTGTTTTCCCAGCTCCATTTACACCTACTAAGCCTACTTTTTCTCCTCTTTTCACCTCCCAATTCACATCTTTCAATACAGTCACACCCTTATAGCTCTTACTCACATTTTCTAACCTCACACCCGTTGAAATACTCGACGCACCAATTTTCGATTGCTTATCCACACGTTTATAGTCATTTTCATTCGCTGAATTGTCAGAAAAAAGTGATTCTATATCATCTTTGACACTGGTTTCGGCTGTTTCGACGGCAACGGCTGATAATTTAGCTGAAATTCTATGGTATTTGGTCTGTTTGGGGTTGAAGAAAGTGGTGGTTTGGAGTGAAGAATTTGTGGGTATGAGGGGTTGGGTTGCAATTGGGCGGAAACGAGGACGGAGACTGGTTTTGCGAGAGTCTAAAAGGGATGAACCGGTGAGGAAAGTAGAGCGGAGGTCGATGAGTTGGAGTTTTGAGGCCAAGTCCATGTTTGGATGATGAGAAAGTGTGGAAAACAGTGGGAAAATATTAAATTAAGGAAGTGTGATTAAAATTTAAAGGTTTTCCGGAAGGTAAAATTTAAGGGCTTTCAGGGAAAGTATAGTTTGCGAGTTTCTCCCTGGGGACTCTGTGAACAAAGTGCAAGAGAGAGTCTTCCCAGAGAATCTCTTCGCACTCCCTCCCTGGTTTTCTCTGCCCTTTAGTCGGCACTGTGGAAACTTCAGATAAATTTTCTGGAAGAGATTTAATAAAATTGCTAACAGTCAATATAAAAATATTTCTTGTTCAAACAATATATATATAAAAATATTTATGCTTCAAAAAAAGAAAGAAAGAAAAACATGGTAACTAAAATATACCACCACTTTTGAAATAATTTCAATCTTGCCTGCCCTAAATATTTCCATGTACTCTCTTCTTACTCCAACTTGAATATTAATTTTGCCCATTCTTAGGATATTTTTTCATTAGCAATATTAATGGAACCCCTTGTGTCATCTCATTCTTGACAAGTTTTGAATCCTAATGTTGTTGCTTAACAGTTTCATCTTCACGCTATGGAGATTATGTTCTACATAATCTATAATATAAAATAGGGTAAGTTTTAATAAACTTATCTACGGTTTCAAATAAACTCATTCAATGACCACCAATATTATTTTCATAAATAATCATACTGTATCGTACCATAATTATTAATTTGATTAATATGTTTTGTGCAAGGCTCAAAATTAAAATTTTGATGTTAGGATGTCAATACAAACTAGATGTAGTACCTTCTAACAAACTTAAATGACTCGCTATTTTTTCCTTTTAAGTGAGACAGTTCAATTAAAAAAACAGTAATTCTAATTATTTAACATGGACGATTTGTATTGAAAATCAGACAAGACGAATTGGAATATTTCATAACACTAGATATTAAAAAATAGGCACAACATAATTGCCAACTTCGAAAAAAATAGAACATAACCCAGGAGAAAAGGGGCAGTACGGTCATTTCGCTCGTCAGTAAGGTTAATTGTTACTGAATTTTGCACATAACATATCTTGTGGTGGACAGAAAGTTGACATAGCAGTGGGTTAGAGCCTTAGATATAACGCCAGGGCAAAACATACATATACTGTTTTGTGGTGTAGAGTCCGCTGTCCAAACTAAGGAAAATGATTTTCTCCTGTCATTCAGCGCCACGTGTTATTGAAATGCAAGATTGCCCATCATCCACGTTGAGAGAGAGAGAGAGATAAAGGGGGTGGGGGGATGTTGAGACTTTGTTTTATTTTGATTTTTTTTATCAATGTTTTATTTTTATTGAATGATTGATTTTAGCTTTCGATTCCCTCTCTCAAATTATTCGTTGAAAAAGGAATATAACCGAGGAATTTATTTGGAATAATGTTATTAGAATGCAATTCAGAAACAAATTTTCAGTGTGCAACTTAGTACGATCTTGAAATTAATAATAGATTTTAGTGTTGAATTAAGTGAATTATCAATTCATGGTCATTGCTGGTGTATACCAACGTGAAAGAGCTTAAGGTGAAAGTAATGTGAGGTGAGCGTAGATCAGAGCTACGAGGCTCGTATATGATGCTAACTGATAAAATATTCAGGGAATTAACAGGGTGCACACAGTAAAAATATAGTGATTCACCGGCTCAGGAGCTCGGCTAGTCCACTCTTCAATGGAGGTTCTTGCTCCTTCTATTTTATTCAAGATCATTACAAAGCTGCTATGGCTTTCTCTTGCCACTAGGTCCTCTTCCCTCCGGGGGCGTTACATAGTATTTATAGGGCTGTTCCTTATTTAGTGGGATCTTGGCCGAGATTCTTGCCCTTATTTCGTGGGGTTCTCCTTAATTCTAGGAGAAAATCTTGGTTGGTTAAGATTAGGTGTCTTGATTATAACTTCCTAACGCTTTAAGAACCTCTCGTGGTTATCCAGTCGTTGTCTTGCCTCAAGAGACATTCAGCCCTTGCTTTCTGACCTTAGTTAATATGGTTGACCTCCCGGTCTGAGCTGAACTCCTGAGCTAACACTTGGGATTTACTTTAGGCATCATCAGTTGCCCCCAGCCCTTGGCCCAAGCGAGCTTGGGCATGGGCTGAGCTGCTTTCGCATTGGACCAGGCCTGCACCTAGCTGACCTTAGTCCGCATGTGAGATGCACGTGGGAGGGCTCTTTGACGGTTTACAGCAATCATGACTTCCTCGATTCTCGTGCATATTTCAGCCCACATCACTCAAGCTTTAAATGCTCAATCGGCTGCTCAAAAAACTGCTTAAAAACTCCATGTTCATCTTCTACATTGTTCACCTTTGTCTCTGGCTCATTCTCTCTGTGATTTCTGGGTTTTCCTCCACACGATTCTCTTATTCTCTACTCAAAATTGTGTTTTCTAGGTTCGACTCGAAGTCCTGCTTTGCTCTTCTCCTCCAATTTTGTTCTCTGGCTGCTGTTTGTTGCTCTCTTCCCTGTTTAGGTACGCTTCCTTCTGCCCCTTTCTCTTTCTCTTACCTTTCCTCACTCTGGATCCCTCGACTTCGAGGTGACCATTATTTTTTTGGGTTTTTTGGTTCTTTTTCTTTTGGAATAGCGATCGTTGCCTATCTCCTCTTCCCCGCTTTGTGGATTAGAACTCCACTGTACGAATTCTTACTGTCGGGAGATACAATACTGACCCTAGGATTATCAGGGGGTGTTTAGTTAGTATTCCTCCTTTTTATAATTCTTTCGATTTGCCTTTCTCTTTGTCAATCATGTCTGCCTCCTCTGGAGCAACTTCCTCCTCTATTTCCCTCCTAGGCAACAGGTCTGCCGAGAGAGATTCTAATTTAGGGGATATAGATGATGAGATTGACAACTTTTCTAGTGTTGAGGCTGTCGATACCGAGGTGGACTCCAAAGAACTCCCCTCATCTTCCTCTCATGTACCTCATAGTGCAAACAAGGGTAAGGGCAAGGTGAGTGAGGTTGAGATTCCTGATAGTAAAGCGGGTATAGGGGCTACCTTCAGGCATGCTGAGCTCGTAGGTCCCAGTGGGGTGGATCCTATTCTCATGGAAGCACTTAGTGCTCGTTTTGGTTTTTCCCCTGGTGTTCCGCCCTGGTGCCCGGATAAACTCACCCCATACGTTGCCCAAGTGCACAAAAGAGTTTGTTTCTTTGTGGCCGCTTTCGAGAATGACCTTCGTTTCCCTATGCACCCCTTCATCAAAAATGTTCTGCAGCACTCAATGTCTGCCCTGCTCAACTTTCTCCGAACTTCTGGGGTGTTTTAGTGGATCTTTTAGTTTTCTTTAAGAAGCATGGGCTTGAGACTCCCACCATTTCTCTACTTATGGACCTTTTTAATGTCAAGCTTACCTCAACTAAGGATTTTCTATATGTTTCTAGGCAGACCTCGTCTAGGCAGATCATCACACACCTCCCGAGTTCTCATAAAAGCTGGAAAAAAAAAATCGTTGGGGGTGTTAACTAGGAATACAACCCTACTAATAAAACAGACACTCTTGGGATTCCCAGAGCCTGGTCAGCCCCAGATAACTTAGGTGAGTTCTTGCCTAACTGAACTGCGGTTTAAAGATTTATGAGTTGTTTTCTTGACCTCTTCATTTTTGGTGTTCCCCCTTTCTTAGGCATTCGACCTGAACTCAGCGCCAAGGACGAGTGGGTGAAACTGAAGTTGGCTAAGTGTAATCCAGAGAGGTACTCTGAGCTCCTTAAGCCCTAGGAATTAGAAAGGCAGGGATTCGGCCCTCCTCCAATCCCACTTTCCTTTATCCGACTTGAGGACATAGAAGGTAATGCTCTTTCCCTTATTTAGTTTCATTACTTTCCTCCCTTTCTTTTTCTTTTTGACTAACCAGCCCAAGCCAAATCTCTCAGGGTCTTCTACAATGAAGCCTACCTCTAAGATGCTCCAAGCTAAGGTAGAGCTATTGAAGAAGAAAAACAAGGGTGGTACCAAGCGCAAGGTTGAGGGCAGTTCTGGTGGGAGCCCAGTTACTCGAGCTAAGGTTAAAAAAATGGGTACTTGCTCTGCCTCTGCCTCTATCCAGAAGGCTCCACCATCCCCCTTACATGCTTCACCAACCTCAGGACTTCCTCTCCCCCAAGGGACCTGACCTGCCACTGAAGATGCTCCTAGGCGAGACTAGTCCTCCCCTTCTGCATCTGAAGTTGAGAGGGCCCTGGAGACTGCTCGCACTTTCCCTAGTCGTGCTGCTTCTGCATCAACCAAGGAAACCTCTCAACCTCTCATGACAGGCAAAGGGGTCTTCTCGAAGTTTGAGAATTCTCTTATTACCGATGTGAAGCGTGCTGCAGAGGTCATTGCCTCTATTATCCCAGAGTCTGACATTGATGCGGCCACTTTTGTACCCCTAGAAACTTGTGTTTCCACTGTGTTGTATGGTTGTACTCGGTGAGACTCTAATTTGTCAAATTCTCATTTTTTTTTAGTTGTCCTGCGCTCTTCCCTTTACACTAATCTTTCACGCTTGTCTTCAGACCGCCATTCAAATAAGCAGCTTGTTAAAGCGAATCCAAGCCCTAGAGGGGTTAGTCAATGCTTCCAAAGCTTTTGAGTTAAAGTATGCCAATCCGGCCTTTGAGAATAATGACCTTAAGGTCCAGGTAAAGGAGTTGCAAGAGCAAGTGGAGCAGTAGTCTTCCTTTGCCAAGTCCAGACAAGAGGAGCTCAGCAAGACTAAGGAAGACCTCCAGTCAAAAACCGATGACTGGATCGAGGAGAGCTGGAAGTCCCTTGATGTTCTAGCTTCCTTCAGGAACATGAAGAGGGAGTACGAGGTGCTAACAGAAGCCAATGATGTTGTCAGGGAGGAGTTAGGGGCTGCCAGGGAGGCGCTGGAGGTGCGAGACACTACCATCCAAAAAAAAGATGAGCTGATTGCCCAGCTAGAGGATAATGTTCTCACCAGGTGGGCAAAAGGGTGGATTGCTTTCTAGGGTATAGCTGAAAG